AAAGGAACAAATCAAACTGGATGAGGGCTGGGTACCTTTGGAGATAATGATAAAATTCAACAGGTAAAAAAGCCTTTTTAAAATCATCCTTAGATTTTTTTTTTGTTAACAGTGCTACCAATAAGTCTTAAAATGCTTATATGTATATGTATTCTTCAGGTTAAACCGTCTAACAACAGACTTTAATGTAATAGTAGAAGCATTGAGCAAATCAAAGGCAGAACTCATGGAAATAAGTGAAGATAAAACTAAAATCAGAAGATCTCCAAGCAAACCCCTCCCTGAAGTGACTGATGAGTATAAAAATGATGTAAAAAACAGATCTGTGTATATTGTAAGTGGCCCTTTAATGCATTAATTATAACTTACATTTATTTAGAAAGAACATAGAGTGGATAAGGGCTCACGAATTATAGTTTCACACTTAGGTACTTAAAGGGGCAGTGTTTTTAACCTCTTTAAGCCTCATCTTCATAAATGGGGGTAAAATTTTTTTTACCTTATAAAACTGTTGTGAGAATTAAAAATGAAAAATCTATATACTGCTGAACAAAACTTACTGCATAGTGTAACAACTGGAAAACTTGATAGCAATTTTTTTAGCATATTAATTTTTTAATAGATTTTTTTACTCTGGAACATTTCAGATATACAAAAGTAGATTGATGTAATGTATCGTTATCAACTTCAAGGTGACATTATCCAGATATTAGTGTGACTAATCTTATTTTTATCTCTGTACTAACTGGATTATTTTGAAGTGAAACCCAGATAAATGAGTCACTTTGTACTGCACTGTAGAACAGTGTCTGTTAAACACATGAGGCAGAAAGAGAGATAGGTGTTATATCCGGCTTCACTTCAAGGCAAATGAATCAAAACTTCTGGTGATTTGTTTGCCTGAGAAGTCATTTGTACATTTCTTCTTCTTCATAGAAAGGTTTCCCAACCGATGCAACACTTGATGACATAAAAGAATGGTTAGAAGATAAAGGTCAAGTACTAAATATTCAGATGAGAAGAACATTGCACAAAGCATTTAAGGTATAATTATATGACATTTTAACTTTCCCTAGTTGAAAAATTAGGCATAATTTAAAAATATCTTTCCTTTTTTGATAGGGATCAATATTTGCTGTGTTTGAGAGCATTGAATCCGCTAAGAAGTTTGTTGAGACCCCTGGCCAGAAGTACAAAGATACGGACTTGCTGATACTTTTCAAGTAAGTCTTTCTGCTGATGTTTCTCTTGGCCACATAGATATATGGAATTGACAAATTGAGGTAAGGAATGTAGAGTAAGGCCAGTATTTTTAGTATTCCCAGGGAGGCCTGGAGAAATGCCTGAATTTTGCTAAGTAGAAACTAATTCTTTCATGACCGTGAGGAAATACTACATTTTCACTGGTTAGTAACTTATAAAGGAGGTTGGTTTTAGTACTTTCCATCTAAATCTCGTAATCAAGCTGGATACTAAAATTTGGTCTTTTGGTTTGATTGGAGAATAAATCACTGTATAACTATATCTTTATTTCTCATAATCTGTATGTGCCTGTATTTTATAAAATACAAAACATTACTTAATGACAGTTGGATCACAGTAAGTTATATATAAGAATTAGGACACACCAGGATAATTTCATGGTAAAGTTGGTTGTAGGGCCCTTGTTCCCTATTTTTGCATTACAGATAGTGTGATGAACCATGCTATCAGTGTTAATCCTTCAAAATAAATTTTTTACATAATTTTTCGTAATTGTTCTTATTCTTAGGTTTTAGGGTAAAAGTTTCCTTTTGTGAAATTAACACTACAGGAAACACTAAAGTATTCATATAACATCTGCTTTATGGTCCCTGTCTATTTGCCTGCCTGCCGCTGGGATGCTCCCCCACCCCCAAATGATAAATGAATGCCAAAATGAGATTGCTAGTGGATATGGGGTTTCTCCGTGGAGTCATGAAATTTTTCTGAAATTAGATAATGGTGAAGGTTGAAAATTCTGAATATATTATAAAACATTGACATGTATACTTTGAGGGGTGAATTTTATGGGATGTGAATTATTAGTAAAACTGTTAATGAAAAATAATTTCCTTGGCTTTTTTTTTTTCAAGATTTATTTTTATACAAGAGCTGCGGTACAGGCCAGCGTGGGAAGGTGAGAGGATTCACCAGAGACAGAGTGGGGAGCAGAACAGGCAGACGACTGAAGTACACTGCTGAGGGGAGCAGTGGGCGCGACAGGAGAGGTCTGCACACCATGTGGGTAGCTCCCTGGCTGACCTGGAATCAAACCCACGCTGTAGATGCTGTGGACAGCTTCACAGCGCTGTGCTCAACCCGCTGCACTACCGGGGAGGCCCTCCTTGGCATATTTTTGAGTAATCATGTTGACAGAAAATATATTCCTGGGCCTCCCTGGTGGCACAGGGATTAAAGTCTCAGCGCTATCAAGCTATTGTGGCTGGTGGCATGAGTTCAATCTCCGGCCAGGGAGCTAACCCACATGGCACAGCAGACCTCTCCTGTCTTGCCCACTCCTCCCCTCAGCAGTGTACCTCAGTAAATCTGCCTGTTCTGCTCCCCACTCTGTCTCTGGTGAATCCTCTCACCCCCACACCTCTGGCCTACACCTTAGTTCTTGTATGCATAAATAAAAAAAAAATTAAAAATTCGTATATAGGGCCTCCCTGGTGGTACAGGTGGTTGAGTGCTGCACTGTGAAGCTGTCCACAGCCTCTGCAGTGCGGGTTCGATCCCAGATGGCCGGGGAGAAACCCACATGGTGCAGTAGACCTTTCCTGCCTTGCCCGTTGCTCCCCTCAGCAGTGTATTTTGTCTGTCTGCCTGTTCTGTTCCCTGCTCTGTCTCTGGTGAATCCTCTCCCCCCCTACACATCTGGTCTGTAACCTGGTTCTTGTATAAATAATTTAAAAAAAAAATCTTTAAAAAAATTTTTATATATATATATATATATTTTTTCTTCTTATGTTTTAAATCTTTGAAAATAATTTGCAGTCTTACCTTTGTACTAATGAACTTGATCTCAATGTTTTGTGTCCTTTAGGGAAGATTACTTTGCCAAAAAAAATGAAGAAAGAAAGCAAAATAAGGTGGAAGCCAAATTACGAGCTAAACAGTAAGTACGTTGAGATAATCATAACATTTTAATTCTTTAAAACTTTGACAGGGTAGAGTTAGTGGTTTTGGTTAAGTGGAGCTGATGATGAGCTCTGAAATGAGTAGCAGTAGGCCTTTTCTGTGCTAATGAAACATTGACGTCTTTAATCTTGGGAAGGCAAACTCCTTCATTTCTGACTGGTTATTAAGTAGTTTAGTGGTCATGATCAAGATTAGTTTTATTAGAATTTGTTTTCTTGCATTGTAAATGTTCTAATTGCATTTTTATTTGTAGAGAGCAAGAAGAAAAACAAAAGTTAGCAGAAAATGCTGAAATGGTGAGTATGTATTACTGGTATTTAAGAAATCTAAGATAGAATATTAAGAGAATAAAAATTAGGCTGTTTTAAGTAAATCTACAGTTGTTTTTGCATTAAAGTAATAGCGAAATATTGCTGAAAATATTCACAGGAGAATAACCAGGTTTATGTAACTATAGTTGTATATAACTAGGTATTCATGGAGAAATTAAATAAAGTAAAATCAGAAGCTACTGTAGAACAAAGGATGACAAAGAGAAGGTACCAACTATTAAAATGCTACTCAAAATAGCCTTCAGTTATAGCTTTTTTCTTGTATACATTGAGTGTTATTAGCCATTTCTGTGTGTGGTTGCTTTAAGGAATTTTGATTGCCTTGTATATTTTTAATAGAAATCCATAGAAGAAAAAATTGGCTGCTTGCTGAAATTTTCTGGAGACTTAGATGATCAGACCTGTAGAGAAGATTTGCACGTCCTTTTCTCAAACCATGGTGAAATAAAATGGATAGACTTTGTCAGAGGAGCAAAAGAGGTTTGGAAACATTCATACTTGATCACTATTGCTCTTGCTGGATATGATATTTTATGAATTAATGTTACCAGTAAGTTGGTATTAACAACTGCAAGTTTTGTAGTAATTTCCTTCCTAATCAGTAAAATTTATTGAAATTAGTAATGGCATAAATTTGCAGGGTAGAAAACATTACTTTGAACAAAGAAAGTACAGTGGGAATAAGAACTTAAGGGTGTGGCTCTTATTTTGTCTTTGATATAGGGAATAATTCTATTTAAAGAAAAAGCTAAGGATGCTCTGGATAAAGCCAAAGACGCAAACAATGGTAATTTACAATTAAGGAACAAAGACGTGACATGGGAAGTATTAGAAGGGGATGTGGAAAAAGAAGCTTTGAAAAAAATCATAGAAGATCAACAAGAGTCCCTGAACAAATGGAAATCAAAAGGTCATTTATTGTGATTTTTTCTAACTCACTTGCTTGAGTGAAAATTTTAATATGTGTTCAAAAACATTGACAAGAAATTTATAACACTTCTTTACTTATTTCTCAATTATGTCTCTATAGGTCGCAGATTTAAAGGAAAAGGAAAGGGAAATAAAGCTGCCCAAGGTGGATCTGCTAAAGGAAAAGTACAGTTTCAAGGCAAGAAAACTAAATTTGATAGTGATGATGAACATGATGAAAATGATGCAGATGGTAAGTTTTTTCCTAAGTTCTTTGGTATTTTTATGAGAATGGACATGGTTTTTCACGTCTGTGTAAGTGATGTTTGTGAATTGTGATCAACCTCATGCTGTTTCACAAATTAAATACAAAGGTACTTAGGAGATTAAAGCTTTTTCTAATTAGTGATGGAAGTTATTAATCATTTTAAATAATTATGCTCAGTATTAAAATAGAATGCTTATAATAAATTTAACAAATACTACTTCTGTTATTGTATAGGAGCAGTAAAAAGAGCAAGAGAAGAACCAGAACTAGACATACACGAACCTGCATCTAAACAACAGAAAACAGAAAATGGTGCTGGAGACCAGTAGTTTAGTAAAAAAAATTTTTTTATTCATTTTAATAATTAGGTTTTAGACTGCTTTTGTCTTTGAAGGCTTTTAAAAAGAAAACCGAATTAGGTCCACTTCAATGTCCACCTGTAAGAAAGAAAAAAGTCTTTTGTTGTTTAACTTGTCTTTTTGTTATCCAAATGAGGATTTTTTTTAAATGTATAGTTCTGTTTGTGTTGTTTCAGATGATTCAATATCAAAAGGAAGATTCTTCCACTAAATTGCCTTTGTAATATGAAAATGTATTACTACAAACTAATAAAATATATACTATATAAAAAGCAAAATCTTAGTTTTTGTTTCCTTTTCCTTCCCAACGCACTTGAGAATATTTTATTTAAGAGAAAAAGGTCAAAAAGTATATTTCCTGTGTACATGGGAAAGACCCAGTAAGAAACTGCATAACTTGCTCACATGACTTCAGATACCATATTAAATAATCTTAGCTAAACAAGGGGGGATGGGGTTATAAAAAGGGTTAGGAGGTTACCAGGGAAGGCACAATAAACAAAGGTAAGACTGTTAAGCAGATTTATGTCCTGCCTTGAGAAAGAATTTTAAACCAGAATATTGGCTGCTAATTATGGGTCAATCCCATGGTTAATTACAGGCATGCCTTGTTTCATTTTGCTTCATAATATTGCATTTCTTTTACAAATTGAAGGTTTGTGATAACCCTGCATCTACCAAGTCTGTTTTTCTACTCTGCTCACTTCTTGTCTATCACATTTAATTAAGCTATGTACATTTTTTTTTAAGACATGCTTTGCACACTTACTAGGCCTAGTGTAAATACAACTTCTGTGCACTAGGATACCAAGTACTGTAGTCGAACTGAACCTGTAATATCTCCAAGGTGTGCCTGTATGTCTGCTGAGCTACTCAAGGCAACTTGATAATAGAAATAACTTACTGTGTAAACCAATGATAATAAAAGTTTTATTAAAAAAATACTTGGGGCCTCCCTGATGGCACAAGAGGTTAAGCACAGCACTGTGGTGAAGCTATCTGCAGCCTCTACAGCACGAGTTTGATCCCGGCTGGCCAGGGAGCAACCCACCTGGCGCAGCAGACCTCTCCTGTCTCACCCGCTGCTCCCCTCAGCAGTGTATTTCAGTAGATCTGCCTGTTCTGCTCTCCACTCTGTCTGGTGAATCCTCCCCTCCCCCACTTCTGGCTTGTACCCCAGTTCTTGTATGCATAAATAAATCTTAAAAAAAAAAAACTTGCAAAGTTTTTCAGTACTAAATGTAAAGAAGTCAGAATCAAGAAACTTACTGATTTCTTCTTATGAAATTTGTATGATGCTGGTAGGTCATACCGCAGTTCTGTAAAACAAAAACCACCTAAGGATGAAAATTGTATTTCCAAACATTTACCACGGTTGACTTCTATCAAACAAGTCTATCTAATCAACTCCCAATTCTAAGCTTTTAAGGCGCGTGTTGTTTCTGAATGTGGAGTGACCATGTGGGTGCTATTAGAAATTTTCAATAAGATGGATAAACTGGGATAGCCTCAACACAGATAGTCTGCTTTGACTCCATCTCTTACCTATTGCCAAGGCACACATGCCCTGTGTACATACACTGAGAAATAACATTTTACAGTCTTCAACACCTGTATGAAAATTATGGTAGGGATTATAGGTGCTCCGTTGGTAGTGCAGTGTGATAGCATACCTCATAAGAGGTGTGCACCTAAATCATGCAATATTATCAATCTACCAATATTTTTTTAATAAGTAATACATAAAATTGTTAGCTTTAATTAGAATTGAAATGCTTTTGTAGGAAATTTAAAAAATTGTCTTACCTGCAATAATATCTATCTTGATTTTCCATTCTGCAGCTTTCTTTTGAATATGCTGAACACAAAATGTTAACATGAGCTGATTTTAAAATAATTCTTAAAAAGTAATTTTTTACTATTACTTGATTTCAAGTTTTCAAACTTTAAAAATCTGATTAGAATTTAAATCCCTTAGGGCCTCCCTGGTGGCATAGGGGTTAAGTCTCAGTACTATGAAGTCATCTGAGCTGACCCACAGGGTGCAGCGGACCTTTCCTGTTTCGCCCGCTGCTCCCCTCAGCAGTGTATTTCAGTATATCTGCCTGTTTTGCTCCCACTCTGTCTCTGGTGAGTTCTCTCACCAACCCCCGCACCTATGGCCTACACCCTAGCTCTTGTATGCATAAATAATAAAAAATCTTAAAAAAAAGAAAAGGAATTTAGATCCCCTAACCTTTCAACTATTTTGAAGATGAGATACCAAGCCATTTAAATATAGTTAACAGTCTGAACCAAATTACACAATTCAAGTAATTATTTCAGAAAATAATGTAGTCAAAATGATTTCTATAAAATTAATAAATATAGCTATCCTGAAAACCATCTGTAGAGATCTGTATCTAGAGGCAATTTAATGGCAATATGGTATGATAGTTGTATGTTTCTAGAACCAGACAGCCTCCACTTGAACTGCTGTTTTTCTATTTACTAGCTCTATAACCCTGAGCAATTTATTCTTACGTCATGTTCCTTATCTGGTTATTAATTTTGACAGGAAAAAATTGCTTTATTCTCAAATATTAATATATACTATATATAACACTGTAACATAAATGAATATGGAAAAAAGTTCCCCATAATCACTTAAATAAATTAGGTGTGTATATAGTTTTCTAGGAATACAACAAAAGAGCTTAGTGTCTGGTATAAGCATTTTCATGTTAGTAGTATTCACTGTTATTGGGATCAAGTTGATTGATAAACTTTCCCTACTATTTTAGGTTCAAATATTTCTGGTAAGTATTGACAATGTTTGTGCTTATAAATTTTTTCTAAATTGAATGATTAATCTTTGAGATATAGAATTCCTGTATTAGGATATAGATTTCAGTGGAGGAATACAATTTAGTGGAATCTTAGAATCCTTGATAAATTTGTGAGCAATAAACTATGATATTTTGTTGCTATTGGAGCCTAAGGTTTGTGAAAAAGGTTTTAGATGGAAATGATGGAATGTGGTGTTGGTTGAGAGAGAAAAGAATGAATGAGTTAAGCACAGAATATGTGAAAAAATGCAGCCTGGTTTACCTACTCTGCTCTGAGCCAAAAGCAGGTTTTCAGAATGCCTAATGAAGACACGGCAACAGCTTTAAGAGTAAGTAACATAGTTTTAGTATATGTCCCAGGATATACTCAACATTTTACTTAAATTTCAATATTTCGATCAAAGAATTTTATGAAATGAATAGAGGGCCAAGCACTTTTAAAAAACAAGGGCCTATAGTAAGGTCTGGTAACCAAAGGACCAGTGACAATGTTACTAATCACATAGAATAAAACAAGCAAAATTATCACCAGTTCATAGAAAGTCTTGATATTGAACATTTATTCCTCATCATATCCTTTAAATATGCATAATACTACTAGATTAATTTTTTAATCAATTACTATACTAATAGAAATACTTTTGCACTGTCTAAAAATATATTTAATGAAACTATTGGCTTAAAATTCAACTAGTAACCCTGACAAACAAATCTGATAATGCTGCCTCCTCGTGGTGGAGCATGGCAAACCAAACAAGATGTGAGTTCCTTGGTAATGTGGCTCCAGGACGTTCAAGTAAGTAGACTTTCTTTGCTGTTTAATTGCATTTTTGTTGTTGTTGTTGCTGCTGGAATATACTTAATCTACATGAACTATGACTAATATATTTCATGTCAAGTTGTGCAGAAAAGAGTTCATAGCAAACCTGATTAATATCTTTAAAAGGGTCTACTTATTATAACGTTGGCCCTTGGCTAGAATATGGAACTTAGATTTGGGGATCCCCTTAATTGATAAGATTGGCTCATTGTGCTTAAACTTTTTATTGTCACTACCGTCTAGCTACTGGAGTTGGAATTTTCATAAGTTCCAGGTACATGATCAGTCCTCAGAGGAAACCTGGGCAGCAGGTCTTTAATGAGTTTTCCAGGTTGGTAACATTTCACATGCTTTGTTACAAAAATTAGCTGCTGGGAGAACTATGTACACTCTATGTTTCCACTGGGAGAGGACTTTGAAAGCTTGCACCTGATTCACCTAGACTTCATCCCATTCACCTTTCCGGTTGGCTGTTTTGCTGTGTCCTTAGCTAGCTATAATAAAACAGCAATGAGCAGAATTATAAGCTCCTGTGAGACTTCCTTGTGAATCATCAAACCTGAGCACGGATTTATGTACCAGTAAAATTATATTGTGCTCTGCTGCTTATCTATATGCACTCCTCATTGTTAGCAGTATGTATACTTTTAACCTTGACTTTCTACTTTTAAATGGGTTCACCAGATTACCATATATCCAAAACATACCGTTTCCAAATGGATTCCAGTATACTAAATTTACACAAATATTTTTCCTGTAAAACCACTTTAAAATCTCTTTAATAAATGTATGAGTTAAAGAAATAGTAGCTAACACATAGCAAGTACATATGCAAGAAGCTCTTCTAAGTGCTTTGTAAATTTTAACTCATTAATCCTCAGAATAACCCTATAAAATATATGGTACTCTTAGTTCCTTATGAGTACAGTGAGATGACAAAACAGAAGTTCAAGTACCTTGACAAAGATAACACAGCTGGGAAGCAGCAGTTTGACTCTGAACCCAGGGAGTCTAGCACCACAGTCTGTTCTTGATCACTTACTATATTGACACTAAAAAAAAAAAAAAAAAATACCATTCCCACCTCCTGGACTAATCTTACACTCTCAGAAGTGTTGAGATTATATGTGCTATATGTTGTCAAGAAGAATAATGGAAGAAGTAGGCTCTGAGATCAAATCAGTTTAGCTCCCAGCTCAATGTTCTTTAAAAAAGTAAGGCTTACTTCCTCCCTTATGCACACCAGACCACACAGAGACATTGGGACTTACCCAGGCAAACCAGGACATATTGTAACCCTAGTTATATCACACTTCTGCCCTGCCTGAATCTTTAATGAAAGACGTTATATAGGCGAGGAAGAAGCTAGTTAAAATGCTAGAGAAAATTCAGTTCCTAAATGCAAATGTTGAAAAGTACATCCTAATACTTAGTATTTACAACAAATCCTTAAAAACTGTCTTGAAATTAAAAATAAGTGACAAAGAACAGCATGCTGATTTGAACTTACTTCTCTAGTTGAGGATTGTGTAAAGAATATACGCTGTTCTTGCCATTTCCAATGCAATCTTCAGAAAAGCCATATCTGTTCCTATTGAGAGTAGGAAAAAAACTCCTCATTCACCTGCTATCAAAATACAAGATTAAATGAATACTAGGGTATTTAGAAATATTTTTTTTCAAACTCAAAAGAGCATTCCAAATTCTTTGTGCAACAAGATTGGGTACACATATCTCAATAAAATCTTTTAAGGTTGATAGACTAAAACCAGAATTATAGCATCTGGTTAAATAAGGCTAAAGTAAAAATTTTATATTCCAAATTAGTGACTTTCAAAGATAGGAGAAGGAAACAAGTAGAGCAATAATCAGAATCATAGCAGGGGTAGAGGAAGGACTTTAAACTATGTCTTTTCTTCCTCTTACTATCCTCCTTGTTCACAGCACACACAAAATTAATAGCCACAATGAGTCTCTGTTACTGATGATCATATATTGAAATCCTCAGTGTGTTAAAGCATTAATAGAGGTTTTAAAAGTATAAAATTGTATGTAGTACTTATAACCATTCATAAGTGTTAGGTAAATCATTCTTGTAAGCAGATGGTATATAAACAATAAATTAAGAAAAAAAGAATACTCAGTACAAATTAGTGAAAAAACATTTTTAATTCCATTCCCTAGCAATTCAACTAATGATTTCTCCTATTAACCATTAATTAGTGATTCAATTAATGCACTTTATATTTAAGCTAAAATTATAAAACTTTACAGTAAAGAAACTGATTTATTTAATGAACAGTCATAAGATCATTAACCCAATCAATGAGAAAATAGTTTTAAAATTTGCTTCTACATACAACCTTCCAAGACTGAATCAAGAAGAAATAGAGAACCTGAACAGACCAATCACAAGCAAGGAAACTGAGACAGTAATAAAAAATCTCCCCAAAAACAAAAGCCCAGGACCAGATAGTTTCACCAGTGAGTTCTTTCAAAGTTTCAAAGAGGAACTAATACCTATCCTTCTCAAACTCTTCCCAAAAACTGAGGAAGATGGAATGCTCTCAAACGTATTCTAGGAGCCAACAATACTGTTACCTAAAGTAGATAAGGATATCACAAGAAAGAAAACTGATGCAATGGTTTGCTCATACTCTACAAAAAATATTAGAAACAAAAAATACAGTAAAGTGACATGCTAAAAAAATCTGTATTCAAAAGTCAATGGCATTCTTACATGCAAATACTGACCCAGAAGAGGAGGAAGTCAAGAAAACAATCCCATTTACATTAGCATCAAAAAGTATTAGGTACGGACCTCCCTGGTGGCACAAGGGGTAAGTCTCAGCACTATGAAGCTATGGATCCCAGGCCAGGGAGCTACTACATGGCACAGCAGACCCCTCTTGCCTCACCCACTGCTCCCCTCAGCAATGTATTTCAGTCAGTCCACCTGTACTGCTCCCTGTTCTGTCTCTCATGAATCCTCTCTGTCCTATGCCCCTACACCTCTGGCCTATACACCAGCTCTTGTATGCATAAATACATAAAAATAAATCTTTTTAAAAAATTCATTAAATACACAGAAGAAAACATAGGCAAACACTCTACAACATTGGCTTCAGGGATGTCTTTGGGGACTGGACTCTAACATCAAGGAAAATAGGAACAAAAATAAACAATCTAAAAAGCACTGTGAAATAAACTATCAGCAAAACAAAGGACACTGTAGGGTATGTGAGAAAATATTTGCACATCATATATAGGACAGGGGGCTAATATCCAATACCTACAAAGAATTCATACAACGCAATAAAAAGACAACAAAGAACACAATCAAAAATGGGCAGAGGAGCTAAACAGACACTTATTTAAAGAAGACCTACAAATGGCCTATGGGCACATGAAAAAATGTTGAACTTACTGTCAACTTTTTGTCAGTATGGAAGGAAGTATGGAGGTGTCTCAAAATATTAAAAATAGATCTACCATATGATCCAGCAATTCCACTATGTGGCATTTATCCAAAGAATGTAAAAGCACAATTTGAAGGGATATATTTACTCCTGTGTTCATTGCAGCACTACTTACAATTGCCAAGTTATAGAAGTAACTCAAATGCCCAGTGACGTATGACTGGATTAAGATGTGATGCATATACACAATAGAATACTATTCAGCTATAAAACAAGATGAACTCCTATCATTTACAACATGGATGGAAATGCAGGGGATTATGCTTAGTGAAATAAACCACAGTGAGAAAGAAAAATGTCAGATGATTTCACTCACGCAAAACAAAACAAAGAAAACTAACAAAACTAAACCAAAATAAAATGACTGCAGAATTAAGGTTGCTACTGTGGTGTGAGGGGGTGGAGAAGAGTTCCAGTGGTACATGATAAAGTGATATGGGTGCTCTGGGGTGTGGTGATACACATCTGAGGAGGTATGAACCTATTCCTCTAAATCATATACAGTGATGTAAACCAATGTTACCTCAAAATAAATTAAAAAAAGGGAAAGCAGTATGATGAAGATATCTCATCAAATAGATAGCAATAAATAGAAAACATGAAAAATTAAAAAACATACAAATATACCAGTATACCTGATTATTACTAACCTTTATTATTTTTGGTTCCAAAGGGAGGATTCATAATTACTGTGTCAAATGACTTGGACATTTTGTTAGATAAGGAGCACACATCACACTGAATCATGTCAACATTTGTTAACTCAAACTCTTCCACATTCCTATTAAATATTTCCAATGCATCTTCATCTATGTCAAATCCAACACATAACCTATAAATACAAAACACAGAATGATTACTTGTAGCCCCATGTCAAAACAATAACCTTTTTAATTCAATTAAATGCTGTCTTTTTTTTTTCACAGATTTTTACATACAATTCATTTATTACAATTAACTATTTTCCTGCAACTCAGTATGTTACAAAACTGTAACAGCTCCTCTGTCCTTGCAAGAGGGGCATCTCTGTCAGGAAAGGCAGCATCAGAGCCCAGAACACATGAATCCAGATAAGATAGCAAGGTTGCTGGTTACTGTCTGGTTATGGTGGGAATGCTCATCATGAGGAAAACATGGCTCACTGGGGATGTGCTTGTTTAGAGTAGGGACCTGGGGCTATGGAACCATAGCACTCTCCTGGAGTCAGATCCTTAGGTTGCTGAACTGCCAGAGCCACTGTCTCCATGCTATATATTGCCTTTCAAAAGAGTGACCTCTCAATCTAGAAGGGTTGGAAACTCAGTCTGTATAATAGGTAGGCATCTGACTGCTTCTGTTACTAGTTTTGACTTTTTAGTAGTTTGTTTTGTCCATTTAAAATGCACTCAGTGCCAGCTTTTTGCTCTCATCTCATACTGTAGAATCCCGTGAATATAATTATATCTATGCTTATTATAACCACCCCATACCCAACGTATATATATATATATATATATATATATATATATATATACTGGATCACCTACCCTGCTCCTAACATTGCAGTTCCGATGCTAAGCACTCCACAACCACATCCTAGATCTGCAACCATTTTATGTTCAATGTCATCATATGTGTTATGGATTGTATAAAGCATACATGCTAAAAGACAAAAAAAAAAATTAGGGAATAAGTAAGGAAGCCGAGGACAAAAATGCAATTATTCTAAAACAGCTTCTTGTATTTAATCCTCCTCCAATTGATGTTCCAGGTTATTTAAAAACAATTAAGTATAACAACTTAGTGTGTAATAAGAAGCCCCACAAAGGTGGGTAATACTTACCAGAGGTTCCCCAAAACTAGTAGCTGCCGACAATGCCAAGAATAACAAAACTTTGAGGTAAAATGACAAAAATAAGATCTTTGTTTGATATTGAAATATTTTTATGAAATGATTGTAAGTATAAATAGGTTTTAAAATTATTTTTCCTTGTCAAAATATGTTCTTGGCAATTTGTTATCAGCCTCCAAAATTTTACTTTTTAGAATTTTACTGGCCTGTGAAGTCTGTAAAGCTAGGAACCACTAATATTAAACAAATATTAACCTTAAAATCACACAGAACATATATACCAGTTTGCCACTGGAGCAGAGTTACCGTAAGTTCAAGCTAGAAGATCAAAGAAAGAGACCTACAACCACACTATATAGCCTTTAAGATACATATATGCAGACATTATATTAATAATTTACAGATACTTATTCATAATCTAATAAGATCTGATACTAAAAAACAAATGAACAGGATAGAAGCTGCTGAGATCAGAAAGGGATCTTTCAAATACACAAGTCTAAAGTAAACTGAAAGTAAAGCAAGAGTAACACCACTGTGGATATCTGAACCCAGCAAGGGCTACTGGCAATCATTGATACTTCAGAATCCAGAACATTTATCAAATACACAATTATAGTGACAGCTCAGGCTGACTGTGCTGTCCTGATTACTGCTGCAGGTGTTAGTGACTTTGAAGCTGGTATTTCAAAGAATGAGCACACACATGTACATGTTGCATACTGGGTGTGAAGCCACTCTTAGGTAAAAAAGAAATTGAACTCCACTAAGAAACCCTTTAGTCAGAACACACTAAAGAAGTAATCACTAATGGATCTTCGTTTTGTGCCAATTTTTGGTTGAATTTATGACAATATGTTGCAGTTAAATGTAGGTATGCATGTATTTCCTTGATTTTCATTGGCAGAAAAAGAAACAAAACTTAGAAACAGAACTTTGTTGGAGTGGAAAGGAATTCTTCCTTACACTGTGTTCCCAATAAATTAAATTTTCTAAGATTCCCCAGTGAATCTGACAATTTATTAAATATTTCTCCCCATGTTCTCCCCTTTACTTTTCACATTAAGGAATACTGTTGATCTTCAGATTGTTGAAATTCATTCTTATCCTTTTATAGCATCTACAGTGAATTTGTTAACCCAGTCCCTCAGGTACAAACTCTAGTAGTCATTTTTAGGGAGCAGTATAGCATGGGAATCTTTCCACTGACAACTGCAGTAAGAAATTGATCCTCATTTAGCAAATATTTACTGAGCTCCTCATAGTACTGGAAACTCTTAGGCAGTGGGAATTCAGTATGACAAAAATCAACAAATTCTTTGCCCTCAGGGAGTTTATAGTGTAGTGAAAGAGACAAATACATAAAAATGTCTGATAAGTGGTAAGGAGTATGAAGAAAACCAAACTATCTGTGTGGGGAGGTGGGTAGTGGAAGGAAGAGAGAGTCTCTTTAGTTATGGAGTCAAGTTATCTGTTAGAATGAAATGAGTTAATGCATATAAAGTCAGTGCCGCTAACATGATCAGTAGCTTTAGAGCAGAATTCCTCTAGACGTTCTTTATATCCAAAAAACTATTTTCATCACGCTGTGTTAGGACGAACTTGCCAAACAAGGGCGCGATCACCAGCCGCCCTACCTGCAATGTGAGGCCTGGTCGGATACTGTTCTAGAAGTAGTTTGGGCTTTTCGAATCCATCTACTTGTTGCAGGCGACTCTCTAGTTCCTTAAGCCTTAATTTCTTCATTTTTTTTTTTTTAAACAGTATGGGCTCGCAGGACTTAATGGCACTGAATCTGCAGAAAATTTATTTAACCTAGATCCTTCCTCTATCCCCACCCGACACCCACGCCCTTTGTCAGCTCTGGCCGGGGCCGGATAGTGGATGCACAGAGCAAATGGCACCGCCAGCCAGGCCGGTCTAGCTCTCCTCCGTTCGCCGCTGCGGCCTGGGTCCTCCGCCAGCCTCCAACCGCCTCGTGCGTGTTCCGCGCCGACCTTGGGATCTTCGGGGAGCAGCTGCTGTCAAGGTCCGGACCAGTAACAGGATTCCCCGCGCCCAGTTCCGGACCTCGCAAGGCCGGGGCCGGAAGCGCAGCCGCGCAAGCGCGCACGCGTCCGCCGCCCAGCGGCCCCGCGCGGAGGTACAACTGCGGCCCAGCTCCTGGGTTCCGCAGGCAACTAAAGGGCTGCCTCCATCCCGCCCGCGACAGGTCTGCACGGCCGGCAGAGCACGCCTTTTCGCTGCACCCGGCCGCGCCCGCTGGCTGTTGCTTGGGAATTCAGTATGACAAAGATCAAGTATGACAAATTCAGTGTGACAAAGATTCAGTATGACTAATTACCTCTAGTTTTCCTTGAGTTTCTGCAGCCTCTCAGAAGACCCGGGCAGAAAGAGTGAAAATGATGGGGAAAAGAGAGTAAAAATCACGGTCATTTTGTTTTTAATGCCCAGTGTAGCTCCTTCTCTGGTCTCCCAAGACCCCCCTGAAAATGTAACAGTCAGGGCTGGCTCAGTTGGTTAGAGCGTGGTGCTAATAAAAATGTAACAGTCTTCACTTGCCTCCTCAGCCATTCTCATACCCCCCTTTATTATAGTTGGTTTCCTCCCCTTTTAGGTCACCAGTGTCACTTACCTCAACTTTCACAGGGTCAAGATGTCAGAGAAGCCTAAAGGAGAGAGGATTTAAAGCGATCGATAGTGGTGTCAAGTGCTGGGAAGAGGTCAGGCTTTCATGGAGAAGGAGCAGGATGTTTAGGATGGCTACTCAAAGGGTAGTGAGAATGGCTGATACTAAGGTGAGAGAAGCTTTTGAGTGATAGGAGATTTGAACAGTTCGGACAGAATGTAACTAATAGGAAGAGGGTTTAAAATATAGTAAAGAGGATATTGGATGGAGTTAAGGTCCTGGGAAGATAGGATTCCGTGCTTAAATGAAAGGATTGACCTGATCTGGGAAATGGAGATCTCTTCATTACTAAGATAAGAAAAAAATGGAGTGAATGGATGACGATAAAGTAGAGAGGGTGGTGTCTGGGACTGTTAGGTCCTGAGAAAAGTAGAATTAAAAGTTATCTTAGGAGAATGAAATAAGTTAATGCACATAAAATTCTTAGCACATAAAGTTCTTTGTCACATAACAAGTGCCTGTTAATGTTAGTTGTTGTGGTGGTATCTGTTGAGAAAAAGGTGGTTGAAATAAGAGGTTTGATTCTAAAGAATAATTGAAACTAGGATAAGTGGGAAGAGAATTAACCCATCTGATTAACCCATCTGATGCTTAACCCATTGAAAATTAACCCATTTTCAATTAAATTAGAAAAATTGAGAAAATTAGATTCACATGGAATCATAAAATATAGCACTTAGAGATGTTGTGTCTTTTACCCAGTTTCCCCAATAATAACATTTTGCTAAACTATATATAGTACAGTATCTCGGCCAGATTACTGATAGTGAGACAGTCAAAACAGCATTTCTGTCACCACTAAGATCTTTCATTTTGCCCTTTTGTAGCCAACCCTCCTGATTCCAGTCACCACATCCTTCTTAACCTCTGGCAACTACTAATCTGTTCTCCATCGATAGAACCTTGTCATTTCAACTACTTTATATAAATGAAGTTATACAGTATGTAAACTGGTGGTGCAAGGGGTTAAGACACAGCACTCTGAAGCTACCCGCAGCCACTGCAGCACAGGTTCAATCCCTGGCCCAGGAGGAGACCCACATGGCCCAGCAGACCTCTCCTGACTTGCCCACTGCTCCCCTCAGCAGTGTACTTCGGTCAATCTGCCTGTTCTGTTACCCACTCTGTCTCTGGTGAATCCTCTCACTCCCCGCACCTCAGGCCTGTACCCCAGTTCTTGTTTGCATAAATAAATAAATCTTTAAAAAGAAAAAGAAAAAAGCAAGAGACCACCTGCTGATCGTTATAACAGATTCCCCACCTTCTGCCTGGATATTTTTGCCTACCAATTATGGCCACTTAACTAGTAGTTGAGCCTTTAAAACCCCCTTATATCCTGATCCTGTTGGAAAATACCTTGAGACTGCCCTTTTGTCATTGGCCCAAGTCATGATTCTGGTCATCAAACATTTTCCTAATTACATTATAGTCTGATTACTTATCTTGGGTTAACAGGATAACCTTGTGTGTAAGAACTGATATCTTTATTAATAATTGAGTCTTCCAGCCCATAAACAGTGTCCTCCATTTATCTAAGTTTCCTTTTATTTCTTTCATTAACATTTTTGTAGTTTTCTGCATGTATATCCTATGTGTATGTGTAGAATACACCTAAGAATTTATTCTTATTTTGAGAAATATAAGTGGCATTAAATTTTAAATATTAGTGTCCATTAATAATATAAAGAAATATAGTCTTTGTTTTGTATTTATCTTATATCTTACAATTCTACTAAAACTTACTTATAAGTTCTAGGAAGTTTTGTTGTTTTGTTTTTGGTAGATTCCTTGAATTTTTTATTTAGAAAATTATGTCCCCTGTAACTAGGGAGATATTTGTTTCCTTCTCACCTGTATGCCTTTTATTTTCTTCACTGGTCTTACTGCACTGACTAGAATTTCCAGTACTATGTCGAATACAAGTAATAAGAATGTCTATCTTTGTCTTTTTCCAACTTAGGGAGAAAATTAATTCTTTTTTCATTATGAATAGTGTTATATGCAGGGTTTTTTTTGAGATGAGGAACTTCCCCTCTCTCCCTAGTTTTCTGAAAGTTTCTATCATGAATGGGTGTTGAATTGTGTCAAATGCTTTTTTACATAAATCCATATGATTATATGATATTTATTCTTTAGCCTTTTGATATGGTAAATTATATTGATTGATTTTTTAAATATCGAACCAACCTTGATTTCACATAATAAATCCAATTGATCAGAATGTTTAATTCTTTTCATATATTATTGAATTGTATTTGCTAATATACTAGTGTCCCCTTTTCTGTAGGTAAGTTAGCTTCCTTCCTTCAGTCCTTCCTTCCCTCCCTCCCTCCCATCCTCTCCCTCCCTCCCTCCCTCCCTCCCTCCCTCCCTTTTCTTGTTTTCAATTGCCCAGAATCAACTGTGCTCCTAGAATGTTAGATAGAATAAGATATTTTGGAGCAGTGAAATATGGATGGTCACACAGATTTTATTACAATATTTTTATTATATTTGTCCTATGTTATTATTAGTTATTGTTGTTAATCTCTTAATGTGCCCAATTTATAGATTAAATTTTATTACAGATATGTACGTGTAGGAAAAAACAGTATATGTAGGGCTCATTATTATCCCTGTTTCAGGCATTTATTGGTAGTCTTTAGAATATTTCCCTGTGGGTAAGTAGTGAGTATTATAACTAAGTTATCAAGAATTTTAACATGTGTTCTCATGGACCAAAATGTAATAAAATTAACTTTTTTTTTGATGCTTTATTAAGGTATTTTTAAGGATAACTGGCTTGTTTTTCTGCAAGTATTTAGCAGAGACATACAATGCCGACTAGAGTCAGTGCTATTGCCTTGATTCATAATACAAGTAGTTTTATCCATCATTGCTTTTGTAAAAACAGTGCAAATATCAATGCCATTGCTCTGGTATGAATTATGATATTCAAGAAAGTTATTTAATACTCTGACAATTTCAACATGAAATATGTTTATTGCTAAATAAATAAGATCATGTTTGATGATTATTTATCACTGAATCTGGACAAATTCAAGGAAAACAGCAAATTCAGCAATATTTATGGATTTAATTCCTTCCTTTAAAACAGAAGTCATTTGGTGAGAATGTGGAGAAAAAGAAACTCTCCTGCACTGCTGGTGGGAGTGCAAACTGGTCTAACCACTGTGGAGAGCTGTGTGGAGATTCCTCAGTCTGCTAAAGATGGAGCTTCCATATGATCCAGCAATTTCACTCCTAGGTATTTACCCAAAGGACACAGAAACATGAATTCAAAAGGGCACCTGCACACCTATGTTTATAGCAGCACTATTTACTATAGGTAAGCTATGAAAACAACCCAAATGCTCCAAAATAGATGACTGGATCAAGAAGATGTGGTACATATACACAATGGGCTATTACTCAGCAATCAAAAAATATAAACTCATGCCATTTGCAGCAACATGGATGGAGCTGGAAGGGATCATGCTCAGCAAAATAAGCCAGAAAGAAAAAGAAAAATACTGGATGATTTCACTCATAGCAGTAATTTAGAAAACCTAGATAAGGGACCAGGAAAAAGACTAATTATAATAAAGTAAAAATCAACAAGCAACTATAAACCAGAGACACACTACCTGGGGGGAGAAGGGAGTAAGATCAAAACAAGGGTGGTGGGAATTGTATGAGGACTATAACCAAGATGAAAATGCATACATTGTGCAAAAATGAAAAATGATGTAAAAAATGTATAAAATTAAAAAAATCATTTTTGAAGGTAGCCATACCAAGCAAGTTAAATAAACTGTTCTTTAATTATGTAAAAAAAAGAAAAGTCATTCTTAAATGTAATAAATCTTTTTTATATTTATTTATTTATTTTTTTTTTTTAAAGGAGGCATGCTTTATTTATTTATTTGTTTGTTTGTTTGTCTGTTTGGTTACACATGCACTGGGTACAGTCAGAAGCGCGGGAGGGCGAGAGAATTCACCAGAGCCAGAGCGGGGAGCAGAGCAGGCAGAAGGACCGAAGCACACTGCTGAGGGGAGCAGCGGGCGGCAGGAGAGGTCTGCGCGCCATGTGGGACCCTCCTCTGGTGGCCGGGGAGCAGCCGGGGAT